GGAAACTGAACATCACTCACTGCCCTACTTTCCCTTTCTCTATCATTCACTCTCTTAAGCATACAGAGCCATTTTGATAATTATCACACTTAACTATAATAGCTGTAGTGCAAAAAAAAAAATAACACCTACGGTGTGACCTCTGAAGGGTAAGAGAATGGGTTATTCTGGCAACACCTACCAAGCAACGCATACCATCTGTGCTAGGTTTTGCCTTAATGCAAGACACTCCACGTAGAAAGTGTGGAATGGAAGGATAGAACACATACACGTTTCCCTGTACATTTTACGTGGTGTCTGGACCCATGTATCTCACCAGCTTATTGAAAAGTGACACTGCGCATAGACAGGCAAGGGCTGGTGCAGAAGTCATGCAGAGTACCCTAAACCTCACTGCTCCTAAAAGAGCAGAGTTAGCACTGCCCTGCTGGGATACACTGAAGCTGCAATAATACAGCCATCATATGATGAAACTACAGAATTTCCTTTCTATCCAGTTACGAGAAAGAGCTGTTATTCTTGTTAATGCATTGCATGAATTTTTGTTCACCTCTGTGGCCCCTGTCGGCTTTACTTATGTTGAGGCACCCAAACTCTTAATTAGATCAAACAATGACATTATCCCTGCTGCCTACAGGTTTAGCTGTTAGCTTGAAGACCAAGATTTAATCACTGAGAATCCTGATCAAAGAGGTATTGTGCAGCTCCTGATGCATGTTATGGTTGTAGGAGCAATCTGCAAAAAAATGGCAAAATTCTGTGCTATATGTGCTTCGTTTCCATCAGCACTGGATTTCCCATGACCCTCTTTCCTTTCCATTTCCTAGTGTTTGTCTTAATTCAACAGAGTTTTTAAATCTTCATTTTCCAGCTTTACATTAATATATTTTCATTGCAGTATTTTCCAAGAGACTACTCTTAAAAAAAGAAAAAGTTTAAAGAATCTAAGTTTTCAGGTATAGTGTCATCACTGTTCTCATTTTGCCTGTATATGGACTGCAGAGCAGCAAACTAGCTGGATGTCAGGATGAGTGAGAAGATACTCTGTTTAGCTTGAAATTTTGTCCTTGCATGCAAGTTTTTTTCAGCTGCCTACTAATGAGATAGGTAATTAAACAAGTCACATTAACATATTATTATATTAATTAATACAGATTTTTCTGGTAGAATATTTAATCCGATCAAATACGCAGTATCCTGCTGTTCTCTCTGATGTATCTTATTTGGTGGAGTCAATGTGTTTGAGCCTGCACTTGTCAGCAATTCAGAGCAATTATTTTGCTTCCTGCTCTATAGTGATGTAAAACGGGTGTGACATTTTTTGGAATAACAGATTGAGACTGGTTAGGCTGAATCTTGCTACAGAAGTTAATTGCTCTTGCTAATATTGCTGTCACATGGCTGGTCTAGTTCTTGGAGATGTGGATGTACATCTCTGCTTTTTATTTCCTCCATGTCTGCATTTCTGTTAGATGACACAGCCAGAGCAGCATCCAATAAAATTGTCTGTTTGTTCAAGGGACTGAAATATACTTACAAATACCCAAGCCATATCATGTTTAAATAAAACCAGGATTCTCACCTTCTTTAGACTGAAGTACCTTAATGTCCCACAGGACTGAAAAGAACAGTGCCTCTAAGCAATGGCCAGATGCGGCTTGCAGGATTAGAGATGGGTCCAGGATAAAGGCCAGATGCAAATGCTTCCAAACTTGGGCAAAGCCAACCCCTTGCATTCAAGTCTCCAGCATGAAGAATATAAATCAAGGTTCCTCATTTTCAAAAATGAGGTGGAGTCTGCTGACTTCTCCATTCTTCTAAGATGTCAGTCACTGTCATCTGTGATTAGTTTCTAGACCAGAACTCCTAACTTTCACTTTCGGAAAAGTTTTGTTAAGGAAGAGTGAATATGGTAACATGATTGAAATACTTCAGGATGACTGTATCACATATCAGAACTCGATGAGCTCTCATTATGTCACTTACTTTTACTGGACACCCTTCTGCAGCCACATCACCCTCTGAAAATTGCTTATGGGGCTTTGCAGCACCAATGACACTGAGACTGTCAGTGAAATTTAATGATTTGTCACAAAATTACAGGACTTGGCTCTCTGATGTTTGCCTTCCTCAGATGGTGCTTCAAGCTTAACATTTAATAACACCATCCCTCCTGTTTTCTCTTCACTGATATTCAATTAAGAAGTTTATTTAAGCAGACCAGCATTTGACCTCCCCTGCCGCACTTCTCCCTGCAGCGGAGCTCTGCCGCTGCCCACCTGCTGCACAAGAAGACTCTACTTAGTCATGATCCCTGGCACACAGTGTGTGCTTACGGTTGATGGCTTGCTTGAAGGAGAACAGACCACTAATAAATTGCACAGTCATTACCCTTTATGCATACTTGCTCTAATAGGTGTCACAGATTCCTGCCTCCTAATAAGGAAAGGAAGTCGAAAAACACATAAATTCTCCCAAGGGAGTCAGACAGCCTGAAGCCACGTTCAACAGCTGTTACTGTTACCATGAATACCAAGAGCAAAACAAGGATTAGAGGGGAGAGGGGGGAAAGAAAAAGAAAAGATGCATTGCCAGGGATTTTGGCAAGGTTTTCTTGGATATGGAATGTGTTTTGCACTGCTCCAATCTATAAAAGCTCTGCACTCCTGCAGCATGTGGTGGAATTTGGAGATTAAACAAACAATGACATTAATTAGTCTATAAACGAATAATTTCATTTATCTGAAGTTTGTATTTCTGTATCTTGCTGGGTTTTTTGAAGCTGTCACTTTAATCTCCAGCAGAAAGGGTTTGGCATTCAGTGGGAGCTTGGATGCTATGTTGTTATTAAACCTAATTCACAAGAGGTTTCAGAAATGTTTTCACAAAGTTTACCTTTTGTCTTCTACCCTAAGCTCTGGTCTTTTCCCTTGGGGCCAGCTAATATGAATTGGAGGCTGCCCTGGCTGCCCTGGAGCTATGCTGAGTTACACCGGCTAAGCCTTTGTCCGTCTGTGCTACAGCTGAGAAATCCAAAGGGGAGACTCATGTCTTCTGTGGAGAGGTGTATTTAGTCTATTCTGCTGAGATAGCTTATGGCTTTGGCAGGGAAACTGTTGACAGTGCGTACTGTAAATATAGTTCAAAGTGAATCTGAAGTCTTGGAGCTGCAGCTTTCTCTATGCTGCTTACATTAATTTGTTAAAGGTGCTCAATGTAAGTACGTATGTGTCTATAGAGTTATACCATTGATTAAACACACTTGATACTCTACTGAAAATGGGAACAGGGCACACCACAAACTGCTGCTGCCTTCTGGCAGCAAAACCAAGGTCACAACATAGCTGGACACTAAGGTAGCCATGGCACATGTCACAATCCTGCTGTATTCAGCATTCTTGCATCTGGCCAAATTCCAGTCTGTGCAATTGCTATCCATCTACTTAAAATGTGTGTCTGCGTCATGAACCCCTGCCTCTCTTTACCTTCTCTCTTTCCCCTGTCAGTTTTGAGTAGATTCAATATTCCTGACTCTTGACTTAAAACATGGAGCAGCACTGCTCTGCTGTATTGAATGTCTACTGGATTTAATTCTCATTCAAGCTAACTTCTGGTGCAGACAAAGTAATATTTACTTTTCAGGCCAAGAGTTATGTCTGCTCTCATCAGAAGACCAAAGGTACAGCAGATCCTAAAGGCAGCAACAACTGAGGGTGAGCGTGTGTATTCCCACAGAACTATCCACTGGAAGGGCTTAGGAGAGATGTCTTTTCTAGCATCTCATGATTCTCTGTTTTTCTATGTGTCCACAGCTTTTCCCACCACCCCCACCCCTTCGCCTTGTAACCCTCCTTGAACACGGACAGGGGTGGTAGATATCCTGTGACAGCTCCCCCATTCCATTCTGAGATATATTTCTATCCCACCTCAGGATTTGGCCTTCTATACATAACCACAAATCTTGCACACTCTGTTAATCAAAACACTGTGTGGCTGAGGTACGCTGTGATGGAAGTATCAAGCCAAGATATGATACTTTTGCCTAGAGTGGAATAAAACAGTTGGTAGCTTAAACAATGAGTATTAAGGCTGGCTGAGATCTTAAAAACACCATCAACTAATTCCTACCTGAATTTAAAATAGGATAAAAAAAAAAAAATCCACAAGGAACTTTTTGACAATTATCAAAACATGCTTTTCTAAAAGTATTTGTGGCAAATGAGGGTAACCAGTAATATTACCTAATATTCCAAACCAGTTTAAGTTCCTGTCCAATGTCAGTCTTAACCCAAACTAAAAATATGCTACTTATTGAGCTGGAAGAAGGTTTTGATTTACAATTATGCCTTGATGGATTACCTGAAAGCACAACCTTCAGGCAAACTGTGATTAACTTGACCAAAGACATCTGCGAGAGCCATCTATGGCCTAAAATTATGACCTTGGTATTCTAGGCTGAAACTAGACACCATTTGAATTGCAGCACTGAAAAACTTCTACAGAGGTTTTTGTTTAGGAGGCGAGCAGGTTTTTTAGCTTCAGCAGTTCAGCAGAAACACCTCCTGTGAAGTTACAGGGGGGAAAGAAAGTACTTCCTTTTTTTTTTTGTTTTGCAGCCATTACTTTAAAAACAAAACTCCAAACACTCCCAGCAAAGCAAAAACAATTAATAACCTGATGATTAGCAAATGCTGTAGACATAGGTTTGGATTTCACTTAGCAAGATTTATGGAGTTAAATATGAAAGTATGGCTCTTGAAAGCCATGTGCTCATAATTAGCTGGAGTTTTACCCCTGGATACTGTAAAATCACAACATGCTGTCAGAGCCCATTTTCTGATCCTGTTATCAGCATGAAATAAAGCTTTCCACTAAATGCAAAACAGATTTACAGGTGCTAAACCAGCTATTTTATCAGTGGGAAACAGGCTACCTTTTGTTCTCTAAAAAGGCATTTCATGATTTTACATTGGTCAATTGATCATACAACAAAGAGAAACAAAACAATTTTTGTCATCTACTGAAACAGAAGAAGATACAATGTGCAAATAAACTCAAGAAAAGTGACTGCCTCTCTGAATGTGGGATATACAGTCTCGCATATTGTCACCTACTGTAAAATAAAAAAAAAAAAACACAAAACCAAGAAAAAGATCAAAGCAATGCCATTCCCTTCTTATTGCTGAGAATGCTACATAAATCCTCAGTGTTCCTACAGGCAAACTCAAAGGAGAACTGCATTCCAGGCAGCTGGGAACACTGTAAATTAAATTATTCAATTAAAAAAGAAGTCCTGCAAAGATAACAGTCCTTTCAATGTATTAATTCCCACATGTGAAGGGCCTCCTCTTGAGCCAGCTCCAAAAGGGAGGATATTTCTGTACCTTGTACTCCAGCTGCTGAAAGGGAGGTGAATGGCTTCTTGCTTATTTGCAGGCTGGCACGCAGCAAGGGGCAGAAAGCCTTTGAGGAGTGTTCTGAGTTGTTTGGGGGTAGGCAGGCTGAACCATTTTTAACAACTGCTTCAGAGTTCAGTGATGGTGCTCAAGAAGAAGCAACATCCCTTGGCTTCCTGCAGTGTGAATGGTTTAACATGATGGTTGATGGAAACTTTATTTTAGAGACTCCAAGCCTCAGTGGAGGGCAGCTTTCTGAACTGGAGATTGTTTAGTGACCATTTGTCCTCTATGTTTATCATTTTAAGTCTCTGGTAGTTGAGTCTGCATTGTCTGAAAAACAACCTCTTATTTGATTGAAGCCTGCTGTGTGGCAATTCCTCTAGATGCTCAGTAGTTGTATCATTATGAAAAAGACTCCACGGGCATTTCCTTTTTCCCCCCCTTCCTTCCTTATTGCAAGAAGAGGGAAGACAAGCATAACATAAAGGGCCTGGTAGCACTTTCTTGAGCAGAAGATGTTTCACAATTGCCAGGTCTTTGTTCAAGAGCAATTACATCTTCTAAACATGGATTGCTATAAAGGACTTCAGAGTAAGGCTGCTACTGATGCTATCTGAGATGGTTTACAAGTAAGTGTACAAGATGGTCCTTTCCTGGTCAAATGGAGGGTAATGTGGTGAATACAGTACACCATTCCCACACAGTCTTCCAGATTTCAGAATAAACTCTTATTGGCAACATTTATATGAATACTGTACCGTTGTGGTGTCTGCAGCACCTTTGCTCTAAAACACCAAATCAAAGGAACTAAAGAGTGAAAGAGACATGTATTGATCATGGGTCCAGCCCAGATAGGAGAAACTTCTATCAAAACATTGGCACAGACCTCATCTGCAGATAAACACACAGATTCACGCACATAAGTGAAGGGAACTCTTGAACCAGAAAACAGGAGCCAAAGCCTTTGACCTGACTGACAAAATGATGATACCTGGAACTGACATTGTGTCCTTGTTTACAGACAGACAGCAGATACATAAGACCTCAGCTCCCAGTGAAATTTTGCATCCCTCTGTATTTATTGCCATATCATTCTTCTTTTGGGTTGAACCAGAATCAACAGAACTTTGGTCTCTCTGTTTCTGAAGAGTGAACTTCAAAGCGCTTGGCCATTTGTCAGAAATTACCATAAAACTACAAAGAAATAACCCAACAGTAAATCAAAAATCTGAGAGAGAAACCTCTCCAAGGACTACAAAGGAAGAAAAAAAACAAATGGCATGGAGAGTTGATTATAACACCAGCAGTTTGCCACGGCAATGGAGAAACTGATACCAGATGCTGCTAGGAGCCCTTTCATTACCTTGAGCAGGACCTGCAGAGCTGTGAAGGGGCCCCATGCAGTACTACCTCTCTATCTGAGATAAATGTGCAGCACTTGGGCACAGTGAGTCATGAGTGAAAGAGATCTCCAGAACCAATTATTATTTTATTTGAATGATGAAGTTGGAGGCTGACTCCTTGTAAGTTTGCTGCATCCTTTCATTATCTCCCAGCGAGTCTTTTGAAGTTGGCTTGTCTTGAAAAATTACACTGTTATATCAGGACTTTCAATGTCAGCAGCATTACTATTTACACAAGTGAAAATAACAGATGAAAAAATTAATCAAAAATTGTTTCATTCTGGATGCAAGGGTTGCCAGACCTTATGGCCCTTGGCATGTACTCTCTTGCTTTTTAAATCCTCAGCCGTCTTTGTTTGGCTGTTTAAAACTTATTTTTAATTCAACTGGCTATTTGGCAATAATAGCAAATAATACAGTCATTTTCTCCCACTCTTCTAGAAAGTAAGATCAGCTAGAAACTGGATGGTTTATGTTTATGCAATGTTACTCACTCCCTCATATTGCATCAAATGAAAACTTACAGTGCACTGAAGGAGGGAGGGATTTTTATTCTGATCTGATTTTTTCTTAGCATAATTACAGAGAGTTGTACTCAGCATATGCTCAAAGCTCTAAGTATACCGCATACCAAAACCATGAGGGAGAGCTGGAATAAAAATGGCCATGGTACTGTCTTACAAGTAATAAGTTGGTTTGGGTTTGTTCTGTTTGGTTGCTTTTTGGGGGTCAACATGTGTTCTTGTCTGTTTGTTTCTTTCTTTGTTTTGTATGTTTTTTAGTTTTGTGTGTGTGTTTTGTTGTTTTGGATTTTGTGGTGGTGTTTTTTTTTAAGTCCCTTTTTAGTTGCATTGTGGTTTCTAAGCTTTTCAGATTCACTTGTTTTGTGTTTTCGCAGTTTTCTCTGCAGCCATGAAGGATACAAATGCTCTTTTGCTAACAAATGAAAGCAGAGATTATATGGACTCACTAGAGGCTGGCAGCTGAGGTTTTTAGCAAAAGTATATCAAATGTAGTGGCTGTTGTAATAAAACTGCCAATACTGAGGCTGAGAATCAGGCAACGGACAAACATGCATAGAGACAGCAGCAGCGATCTGCAGCAAGCCAGGGGATAGACTGAAGGGACATTATGAGCAGAACTGGTAACTCAAGAAGGAAAATGTTATCAGTGTTAACGATTTGTATAATCGGGGGGGGGGAGACACTTGGCAGCCTTTGTGGAAATGTGAAGGCTACAGCAGCTCACTGGAGGGCATGGGCAGGTTTTCTGTCCTGAATACATACCTCATGTGTGGTGCTTCTCAAAAAAATTATCGTATTGTCAAAACCTCCTGGTTATTGTGCTAGTAACTTCCAGAGTGGAAGGGACAAAAACAGGACAGCATCAGTGATGCTGGTCTCACTGTACCCCAAGAACGTTCTTAGCCCTTGCCAAACTCCTAAATAGGTTCAGTTTCACCAAGTGGCTGAAGGTTGTACAGTGCCATAATTTAACTGTGTTTAATGAAGAAAACTCCGTCTCAAAGTCTGTAAGGGAAGGAGAGATTACCTTATTTATCCGAGCAAGGCATACCAACTTGCCCTACGTGAAGGAACATGGTTAAAGCAGTAGAAACCTGTGGAATTTATTATGGAGTGACCCTCCATATTGAAGTGAGAAAAATAGAAAAATAAAAAATACTTAGAATTCTTTCTATGTTTACCACAGTTTCTGCATTACAGTGGTCACTGTTCCTGAATAATAAATTCTCAGGTTAAAAAGTGAAGTCATTGAAACACTGAATGTGTTGAGTATAATACTATCAACATAAAGTATGGTGAATGTTTCCTTTACTATTTCTAAATTATCTTGTTGTCAGATTTCTTCTCATATTCATACTCATTAAGTAGATGTAAACACTTTGGTTGCAAACCCATATTTCTGTCCATTCACGGACCTATCTTTTACTCAGGTGGCACAGATCAAGCCAGAAATGGTTGTAGATAATGCTATGTAAGTGCCCAAAAAAACAAAAGAACAAAATGTAACACCGAGGGTTTCTACAGTCCTTAAGCAAATATATTCTTGTTCCTTTGCGGGAAGAAATACTTCTTGCTGTTCTTTGTACGTGTGGTACTTGTGTTAGGTACCTAGTCTTAGCTGTACTTCGGATACACCCATAGCACAGATGATGAATAACAGTTAGATTTCGTGGCTGCTTTCCTCGGTGAGAAGAATGTGAAAACAGATCAAAAAAGTGTCACAAATACCTGGTGGAGTTTGTTCTTTTGGCCAAAACAGAAAGAGCCCCCCAAGCAAATATAAGCTTTCTGTTATATTTTTCTCCCACCTAATTGCAAAACTAATTCAAACTGTAGAAACTATAGAACTATATTTCAGGGGTTTTGTTGTGGGTTTTTTGTGTGGGTATTCTTTTTTTTTTCTGGAGACTTGTTCACAATATTGAGGAAAATCAATGAGGTTTTTGCTGCTACTGCTGCAAAAACATCAACCTTTTTCTGAGCCTTCCATTACTTAAGCAATGATCTAGGTTCAGAAAAACTTCACATATTTGTAGCTGAATCAGCTGCACAGTATAATGTGGAACAGCGACACTAAAGCCCATGGACTTTGCCTGGATTCCAGCTGGTGGAACTGACAGCAAAATTTGGTCTTTGTCATGGCATACCTTCAAAGTTAGGAATGATACAAGCTATGTAACTGCTGCAAATGAAGGATCTCAGAATCCCTTTTTAAAAGGAAGAAAAACAATAGTAAGACCATGCTAGCAAAATTAGAGTGGCATTTTTCATTCATCCTGAGTGTTTTTATGGTGAGCTTTTCATTTTTTTTTTTTGTCTTTTTTTACGCTGTGGAATAATGTCACTAGATAAGTGGTAAAGAAAACGGTGGCTTGAGTCGCTTAAAACTAGTTTGCCCACCAGTGATAAGAAATAATTTTTTTTAGAAAAATGAGTGGAAAGATAATATAGGCCCAAAGTTAGGGGTTTTCATTTCACCTGACATCAACCTCCATGGAGTTGTCAAACCATACTACGAACGCACTCAGAAATTCAGCTTCCATGTCACCTTGTGGCAATAAGTTCAACAGTTTAAATAGGAGTTTTTTGAGAGAGGACTCCTTCAGTTCATTTTAAAGCTCCTGTCTGAAAATCTTATTTCCAGTCTGAGGGTTAAGGATTACCATTTTGTTATTTTCTTCCTCTTCGTCATTTGTGATTTTTAAAAAATCTCTGTCATATTTCCCCTTTATCCAAGTCTTTTATTGCTTTTTCCTCATGGAATTTGTCTTTTACTTCCATCAACCATTATGCCTTTTTTTTTTGTCTTTGCAAATGGGGCCATTCTTTTTTTTAAGTGGGGTAACCAGAACTGAATGTAGTAGTCAAGAGGTAGGTGTACCAAGCCAATGTTTAGTGACATAATGATATTTTCTGGGTTATTTCCTATTCTTTTCCTAATGGTTCCTACTATTTTCTTGACTACTTTGCACCTATCTTTTACTTTAAGTCATCTTGCCCATGTGCAAACTGAGTAAGCATTAAGGGAGAACATCAGCTGAATTAGTTCAGGTTGAGACAAGGATAATTGAGGGTTAATGTTTTATAGCATGATCTTCAAAACCTCAAATAATAAAAGAGTGTTATGAAAGAATGCAAACTGTAAACAAGCTGAAGCAATATATACAATATAATGATAAATGACATGCTATAGCGAAAATATTTTCTTTCAAATATAGTACTTGCTATATTGTACCACAAATCCACAGATAAGACATTCAATGGTATCTGAACTCAGTATTATTAGGAAAAAAAATAGGAAGGAAGAAAAGAATGTAAACATAATACAAATGTTTTGGGAAAACATTTAAACATTTGAAGATCTGCAGAAACCCTTGAGGCAGCCAGGTAGTTTGAAGGCAGTATCTACTTTGAAAACATGCTAAAATAGCATGAGAATATCCAAAGCCTAACAGAGAAAAAAACTGGGGAAGACTGAGTACTCGGTTGAATCTTTCTACAGCAAGCCCACTGGAAATATACCACGACGGAAGGAAGAAGCAACCTGTGACCAGAGGGAAAGGTGTTTTTTAAGCGAACTTGGGCACAGTTTTGGAGTGCTGATAGAGTTTTGGGTGCTCCAGACAGGACACTGCCATCCCTGACAGGCTGGGAAGCAGGACTTTCCATAGCAGCTGTAACAGCTGCTACTAGGTATTTTGGAAAACTGAAGCTCACTATTGGACATATTTGTCTAGTATCATGAAAGCAGATACGAGGACTCAGATAAACCCCACCTCCAATGGAAATTATGCTGCATTGCCACCACAGGTATGGGGGTTACGTCTCACTCCTTATGTAAATTCCTGCCTGATAGCAGGGATTTTATTCATTTATCCTGGGTCCCAGGTCTTCACCTACAAAATGGGGTGAGGTTTCTTCTCTCTCAGGAGTAGGTATTTATGGTAGTGACGCATGTACTGTAGCTATTCTGGTACTTGTAATGGAAGGTTCTCTGTCCAACTTTTGCACCTATTCAAACTGGTCTGTGACTCTCTCACTGCCTGGTAAATATAAAATTAAAGTTGACAGAAGACTGCAGCAAAATCAGTCCAAAGGCAAGAAGCCAAATAACCACTTGGCTGTACACTGAAAGTTAGAGCATGCCTAATGTCCCCACATTTTCACAACAATTATTCATTCTTTCCTAGAAGCAGTTGGCTAGTTAGCTCAAGAGAATTAAAAAAAAAACCCTGATGCCTTAACAGAGAGCCATCAAACACAAAGC